CTTTCTTCTGTCACATTTGACTGAGGATGTCTTTTGAATAAAGACGAAACGTCTCAAACAGAAAATAGTCGATTTTCATGATGAAAAAGGTTGTGTATCTCTTATTATCTATATTGAAATTCTTCACCTTAAAAAATGACTCAATAAACAACTTTTTCACTGAACATTTTCATATCTTTACAATAGATTGTTGATTGAATAAATCTTTCAATATTCTGATTTTCTTCATTGTCGATTGAAATGTATTTCTACTTATTTCTTCATTGAAAAATTTCGAACACAATATTTTCAAATCTTTTTTGGCGTCGTATGTCGTTATTAAACTAGTTAAAAACATAAAATAATTGATTTGTTTAATTGTTAAACAAGTAAACAAACGTTGACTTAATACAAAATACCCACATGTTAAGCCCGAAAATGTGAAAAGTAAAATCATCAATTATCAGTATAATTGTCTATTATTTTATTTGTTCAAAACAAAAATACAAATTGAAGAAGAACATAACAAGAAAGCTAATTTGTCTATTTGTCGATCGGTCGATTTGAAATTTGTTCGAGATACCATTTTCTCGCTCTTGTTTTGATAGCATTTGCAAAATCAGTTTTGGGCAAATTACTTTGTTCTATATCATTTTGATATAGTTTTTCAACATTTTTCATAAATTTTCCCATGTCTTGTTTATTTATCTGTCCATTTAAGTTATTTTGTACAATCATTTCTAACTGATCAAATGATACAAGACGTTCAGATTCATAATTAACATTTTCAGTATTTAGTTTTCTAAATTCTTCTAGATTATTTAATTCTTCTTTTGTCATATTTAACGATTTTGTAAATGTCCACTCAAGACTTGTCGAATGCATATCATTTAGATTTGTACATTGTCCTTCATAAAGTTTATATTCATAAAACATTAATTGTTTTATAAAACTATCATTTGGTTTAATCTGATTACGACAATTTAACAAATATGCATATGCTTCACCTAAATTCATTTTTTCTGCTTTCATTAAATAACTTAAAACAAGTGATGCTGATCTTGAACGACCCACAACACAATGAATTAATACACGTCCACCTTGTTGTTTAATTTCATTTAAAAAATCATAGACAATATCAAATTGTTCACTAATATTTTCTTCGGTAATATCTTTGAGTGGAATTTTTTTTACTTTTATATGTTCCGGTAGAGCAGGATTAATTGCCCACTCAAGTGTACAATTTAAAATATGTGTAATTTTATTTTCTAATAATTGTTCAATATCATTTGCATCTTTACCTGAACCCAAATAAAGAAAATTTTCAACAACTATACTCATACCTCTAGAAATTTTGTGATATTTTCTCTGTTTTCCTTGTGAAATAGTAGTAGATTGTTGTACGGATTTTGATTCTGGTTTTGATTTTTGATGTGATACACATATTTTTCGATTAGAATTTTTTCCTGTAGATTGATGATGTAATTCTAATTGTGCAGAAATCACATGAATAAACTGACGTTCTGCAAAGCTTAACATTGACGGAAATTCAAGTTTATTTTCGTCTTTGATTGATTGATGTTTAAACTGATAAAGTTGTTCAAATATTTTAGATGTTTGATCATTTTTAACATAGAGAACTGTTGTATGTCGAGTAGTTGGAAAAACATCAGTAATTGTTAAATTCTTTTCTAAGATAATCGATTTTAGAGGTAAATGAATATCTGATAGGGATAACTGTTGATTATTTTCAGAATTAATTTCATTGTCAAGATAGAAAAGTGATAGATTTTTGTCATAAATAATACATTGTTGTCTACGAAATGTAATGGTTATCAATTCAACAAATTGTTCAACTGTTATATGTTCTGATGGAATTTCAATAATGATTGGTTCATAAATACACGTGTAAACACTGACAAAATATTTTTTTGATTGATCTAATGTTTTTAATTCAAAATCTTTAACAATTTTGGCGAGTATATCATCATTTTTATGAACATAGATAATATTGGATGTTGATATTTGATTAATGGCAGATGAATCATTGACAACAATATAAGTTGAGATAATTTGTGTTAGTTCATCGAGAGATGGAAGGATGAAGTCACAATAAGTGTACGATATAACAAGAATAACACTTTGATCAGTTTGAACAGACGAAATATAATTAATACATTGGTCAACATTGTCAAACTTTTTCAAATCGAATTGATCATTATTCAGTTTGCTACTATCGATATCTACATCAAGACAAACAATAGTAGAATATTCAACATTGTCAAAATTCATGACCTCTGAATCTAACGCTGTTGACATGATGACTGCTGGATTTGTGTGTGAACACATTTACAATGCCTAGTTTACTATATAGACACAGAAAAGAAGGAGAAATTTTCTTCTGATTGCGCAATTTCCTATCGTACATGATGACTGCTGGATTTGTGTGTGAACACATTTACAATGCCTAGTTTACTATATAGACACAGAAAAGAAGGAGAAATTTTCTTCTGATTGCGCAATTTCCTATCGTTCTTCATTTCTTATTCATCAATACCCGTACTCTTTTCTTTTCTCTCAGTGCAAAACATTCTCCGCCGTCATCGTGAACTTCATTGCATCAGCCCTTATGATTGCCTCATATACTCTCCAGGAATGATGTACATTAGAAAAACTGTTACATAGCATGAGTCAAACATTTGTATGCTTCTCTTTAACCATAGAAACTAAATGAAGCATTTTATCAAATTAATAGGCAACTTGCTTCAACCATTACTCGTTATAAGAAGATAACAAAATATTGACTGACTGTAGTCCATTGTGAGAGTTTCGTTTAATATATAAATATTCATGGTTCATTAACATAACATGATACGTTCCTATTTCGTAGAAATTCAAAATGTACTAGTATAAAGTAAAATTTCATAGAAAAAATTTTCGTTTAGATTTAGAGCTCAGGTAACACTTCGGTTAGTTAACGTGAGGTAATGTCAGAAAATTCAAATAAATTTGTATACTTTAGCTAGCACTATTAGCTAAAGTAATAAAGGCTGGAATGAATTGGACACCTGAAATGAACTGGAGGGGTTGGAATGACATTCCATACATTACCTAACACTGTCAGGCAGATTAGGTAAGGTAAGACAAACCAAGAGAGGTGCGTCTTGCTCAACCGGTCTTTAAAACATCCATATCCTCATTTATTAATAAAATATTTTTAATCGGTAACAGTATTTTCAAGAGAAATTGAGTGACATATAAAACTTAAAAGCTATGATACTGTTCAAGGGTAAGGAGTTATTCGTCAGTACATTTCATAGTCGTTGAATTCATCATCTTGGTCCAAAGTGGAAGTGCCATATTGAAGTTCTGATGTCAACTCTTGTTCCATCAAGCGGAGGTCATTGAAAACGTCCTAGCTAAGGTATAGAAATTCATTTGAATTTCGTAACCTTATCTCACCTTGCCTAAGCGAATACTGCAAGCTAAGAGGAATTTCCTAACCGTACCTTATCTAACCTAGTGTGATCTACTAGTACATATAAAGATGTATAACCAGTGATACATATACATGTTTAAACGACTAACACGCCCTTTTCTCACTATACCCTAAAACTAAGCGCCCTTACTTAACCATACCTAATCCATAGATTTGAAAAGAAAACTTCGTCGAAAAAAATTTACTTTTACAGTGAAATTTTTCAATTTCCAGGAAACAGGAACATGCCATGTACTCATCCTTGTAAGGGGAAGGAGTCGTCCAACCCAGATTTTTCGCTCGGTTTGTAGAGCACACTTTACAATCTATCGTTTGGCTTAACCCTTTGAGTATCATTGCTCGACCATGATGGGGGGGGACTTCTAATTTTGTGTGGGCATAGCCCTTACCGAATGCTGATCAGCTACCAAGTTTGGGTCTCGTTTACTAGATGGTTCGTGAGATGTAAGCGTTTATTTCTTTTCCGTAAAATACTGATAACTCCTGATCCAAGAGCGGTGAAAGCTTTTCCTTTTTACCAAAATGCAGCACTGCCTCTCATCTGTCTAGGATATGAATTTGAAGTGTTAGCTCTTAATAGTTGTTCAAATACAGCTATTTTACGATCGAAGGTCACTTTCGAAGTTTGAGATCCTCTTCCAAAAAGTTCATAACTCAGCCTAGAAATATTATTCTCACTTCGAAATTGCACCAGATATTCTAAAATGTGTTTAGATTATTCACACAAAGTATGACAGTTAACTACTGTATGATTCGAGATATTCATTGAAAATGAGCACCCGCTGTTGAAACATACATAGGGAAGCAGGGGTGAGCAACCAAGGGTCGTCCATTCTATCATATCTTCTGTGGTTAATGTTCGTCATAATCGTGTAAAAATATAATAATGAAAAATTAGGTTGAAAATATCCATAGGTAAAAGATTGTAAAGAAGACATCGAACTCAACCTAATCCCCGCTTATTTCATTTATTTTCCGTCTTTTTCACTTCTCATATACTTGCAAGCAAAATTAATAACATACCAGAGATCAGCATACAAAACGACATCGTCGCCTCTCGATATCTTTTTGCGGTCGCGCGCGAGTTATTCGGAAATCAAGAAACTTAAAAAAGCGTCCTGAATTCGGAACGCTGGTAAATAAAGGGCATCTGAGTATGCCCTCGACAACACTTGTTCCGTTAACTGCAATACTGTATATGGTCGATGTACGAGTAAAGAATAAAAAGTATTTCTGTTGAATCATTTTACTGCCAAAGTAACACAGGTACACTTTAAAATATCTCAAAGATATGCGCTAGGAGCCGAATTTTACGCTCATTCTGAATATATTTTCACAATTTCTATAGCATTTTGTTATAAAACACTCTACACGTGATGTGGAAAGTGTGAAAAAATTATTTGGATGAAAATAAAAATCCAAGTGTTTTCTCATAAATATCTAAGATTCAATGTAAATAAATGTCTTTGTCTACCAGCTTGTAGAGGAGATTTCTGCCATAGAATCCATATGTTAGATAAAATAAATCTCAAATAAATTGTGTTACAAAAAAGTTACTGTTCGATTAAGTTCGAGTTTTTCATCCTTTCATGTTTTATGTAGAAAGTGGGATTTGATAAAATACTTTTTATTCTTTATTCTGACATTTTAAATTATTTCTATACACTGTTTTGTAGAAAAATGTTTGCTCTACAATCCTATGCATTTGAAACATCTAGATATTCCATCGTCTTCTAAACTGTGGAATGGCTTATCAAATGTAATAAAAGAATCAAAAAATTATGCCACTTTCAAATGTAAAATGAAACAACCCTACTTCACTAAATTAAAATTGCCTACTGTTATT